GAAGCATTATAATGACATCCTAAATATCAATTTCAATGGGATAGTCAACCGTCAATTATAAATGAAACATGAACTTATATATTATCACCATACTAGAACAACCCATGAAGAATTTATCTATAAATAAGAAGACAAGCAGCATAGCAAGCACACAGTTTTTTCCATTGAAAAAGAGAAGAAAAAGCTCGCCTTTAAAAGATGATAGCTGTTGACTTGTTAAATTCTGGTGAAACAGAAATGAAAAATTGTTATGTGAAATGGAGAAAAAATCCATAGCATTTGAATCATGAACAACATTCACAAAAGAACCACCAGAGAGGAAATAAGAGGAAGTGCCTGAGAATAGTTGAGGATCACCTAGAAGGTCAACCAAGACCCTGAGAGAAGTAATTGCACGTGGAGGTGGGATCCAAAGAAACTATGATGAAAATAGAAATGCAAAGGATCGCCTATAATTGATAATGAGAGAGAACGAGCTGGACCATAAACACAAGAGCAAAAATCTATCATCGATGTAGAGCAGAAGAAGGCGGTGTAACAAGGGCTGCTCAAAGTGCTAAAGAAATCAAAAGCAGATGAGACTTCGATGTCATGAGTTAGCATAACTTCAAACACAATCTACCAATATAAACAAAAGACAAGAAAGCCCTCAATAGAGGCAAATGTGTGTACAAGAAAAACACCCGAGATGAAAGCAAAGAGATCCACAGCCACAGATAAAACAAAGTAGTAGTGCAAAACATCCCCACAAAAGTAGAACAAAAATGCCCTAGCAACAGCACAAAATAAAGTACACGACTGGTATGGAACATGATTAATACATGTAAAAAAAAATTATCAAGATTCAAAACCCCTATTATAAGTTCAAGCCTTTTCTTTCTTAGCTCAGTTTCTCCTATAATGTTCTTCCTCTTATAAATATAATCATCAGCAAAGAATGCACTAAAATCAAAAATAGCCAAAAGTATAACATCATTAATCATGAACAAGTGGCAGTTGGAAAGTTGAGAGCATCATTGTGAAGCTATGTTGCAAACCAATCACACAAACTTTGAGTAGTTGGAAACACGAAAAAAGGTATTGAGATGAAAAATGTTAGAGCGGTGCCATTATTCAAAAGTTCATGTTAGTTTTCTTTAGATAGTTAAAGATTTATATTTTAGTATCATAGGAGCATTTTGCTCTTGAATCTACTTTTTGGCATATTTCTCTAAATAATGAAACAACTGAGATATTTGGTGAAGTAGGGCTCTTATCAGTCATACAAAGTCAAATTACCCTCTTTAAATTCCATGCTGAGAAATCTAACAATTCATAAAAAAAGGCCAACATTGTGTGCTCGGATAGAAATGAGCAATCAAATTAAAGACCTGTAGCGGGGAAAACTTAACCAGCCATTAGATCACCACTTCTACTAGTAACCACTCAATATTAGCTTTTAAGATAAATAATTAAGAATTTATTCATCTCTAACTATTCAATTAAAAAGCTCATAACAAAATAAGTCCAATAAAAATGAAAAAATTCTGAATATTTAATTTAATTTAGGCCAATAGTAAATTATAAAAATATGATCTATTATAAGTAGAAAGAAAATCCTAAACAATATTACTAATAGCAAATAAATATTGGACAACCCAATTTAAAGCAAAATTCATAATCAAATGAAGCCGAAAATTTAACTTTATATAATCAACCAATGATAAGAGCATAAATTATCGTATTAAACAACATCATAAATCAGTTCCATCTAGTCATTGACAAATACATATGGTAAATATTTTTAATATCGTTGAGCTTCTATAATATACAAAATAGTCTACTAATTTACGGATAAAACTTTCGTTCTCAAATTTAAAAGGCATAAGAGCAAACTTCAGCCCGTATATATTCTCACCACTTTACACGTACATTGAATGATTTTGTCATTAAAACATTACCTTTTTATTTAGTGCTAAAATATTTCCTATTATGACATTTCAACTTAAGAATACATACTATTATAAAAAAATGTTTAAATAACTAGAATGTAAAAAAACTTTAAAAAAAATAACCTGTAAAATTTTATATTTGAAAAAAAAATATCATAACTATGTTCTATGGTGCCAGGCATACTTGATTAAATTTATTTTTGCTCGTGTTAATTAATATAATTACAACTATACTATTGTGAGAAATACAAGTAATTTTTTTATTTCTATATATCTACCAATTTCGATTAATATCCAACAACCCACATAAAATTCTATTTTTTTATTTATTTTAAAATATATCCTTTAATAAGGGGAGCAACACATAAAATTAAGATTAATTAAATGTCATTGATATAACAAAATGAGCTTAAAGTTTTTTTTTTATTATTTATTTTACATCTAACACTCTTTATTGATAATAAAAATATCATGTTGTTCAACTATATAATTTATAAAGGTATTATTGCTTGTTAGTATAAAAGAGAGAAAAAATAGAGAAAGAGGAAGGATTTACATGCATATTATAAAATTCTTATCTATTTACATGTCTAACTCAATCTTTATACTTATATAACATATTAATCTCTAAATCATATAAAAAATTCACTAATATTAATTTACCTAAAGTGAAACACACATTTAATATATATGTTTAAACATGATTTAGACAATAATATTTCATACAAATAAATAAAAAAACTTAAATATTAGATAGGCAAGTGTTGAATCATGATTTGTCGGTAAATCACAATCAAGAAATAAAGTGTAAGACATGAGAGAGGGAGGGAGAGAGAGTGATATGAACAATGGTGAACAGTAACCTAGGCACCGCATTGACCTTTCCCGACCTTTTTGGCTAAGGTTGTGTGCCTCTCCTTCATAGAGTGCTCCCCTATTTATAGAGGAAGGGGGATGACTATGTTTAATTATATTCGCGCCTCTACTTTAATGGAGGTTGTATAGGTTATTGTAGATATTTTACATATGTAGGCTTAGAGCTGGTTGTTCTATGACTCAGCTGGCTAGACTGGAAAGCCCTTGGACAGGCGTTGTCGGTCGTCTAAGCTAGAGAGGTCAATCGGTCGGCCAAGTCTGGTAAAACTGCCGGCCAGCTAGGCTGTAGAAATTGCAGGTCAGCTGACCTTCTACTGGTCGGGGGTCAATAAGACTGATATGCAAGGTTTAAAAAACCGAACCGAACCAACCGGTTAAACTGTGAACCGACAGATGGTCCATTTTTGGGCATGTTAGAAATCATTTCTGCATTAGACTAGCCATAACAAGACTAAATTGTCGATTCAACTGGAGAACTGTTAAATTGGGCTCTATTTAAATGAACCGCTTTTATATTTATTTATTTATTTATTTTTGGAAATCCATTTCCAAGGATTTGAAATTTTGAGATATGCAGTTTTTGCTTGGGAAAGCCATTGAAAGCTAAGTCTTCATTTTATAGACTATGAAGAATTTCTTAAGGCAAAACTATCGATGTGAGACTAAAGGTAGCTAGGAGAACTTCTATATATATTTTTAGGAATATTTACACGCATACCACTCAAATCTTATTTATTTACATATCTAACACCAAAACTTTTGTATTTTTTTTATATTTTTAGGAATATTTACCTGCATACAACTCAAATCTTATTATTTACATATCTAATGCCTAAACTTTTGCATTTTTTATATTTTTAGAAATATTTACATGCATACCATTCACATCTTATTTATTTATATATCTAACACCTAAACATGTATTTTTTATAAATATAACTGTTAAATAATTTTTAAAAATAAAAAATTTTAGCATTTACATGCATACCAATCAAATCTTATTTATTTACATATCTAACACCTAAACGTGTATTTTTTATATTTTTAGGAATATTTACATGCATACCACTCAAATCATATTTATTTACATATCTAACACCAAAACTTGTATTTTTTTATATTTTTAAGAATATTTACATGTATATCACTAAAATCTTATTTATTTATATATCTAAAGCCTAAATTTGTATTTTTTATAAATGCACCACATAAATAAGTTTTAAAGATAAAAAAGTTTAGCATTTGTTTGATACATATTAAAAATTAATATAAAAACATATAAATAAATATTATTATTTAATTATTTAATTTTTTCGAGTCAAACAAGCCGAACACAAACAAACAATTATTTATTCGTGTTCGGCTCGTTTATAAATCAAGTCCAAGAATGTTTGTAATATTATTGTATTATTTATATCATATTTAATTAATTTATATATTTATTATATCATCCAGTCCAATCCCAGTCGAACCAATAAACCTTGAATCTTTCCTTTTTCCGGTGTGATGTCCGATCCGATTTTCACAACCTTGTTGATATAATCAACTAACTCTTGCTGATCAATTGGCCTAACACGGTCGTCAGCCCTCGATCTTTATCGAGAAACCCTTGTCGGCAGAGAGAAGCGACGCTAAGCTGTCAGACAGAAGGTGAATCGTCGTAATCTGACAGGTAGTCTGCCTTTAGACAAAGAAATCCTGGGAAATGGCTAGGACTTATCTTGTTAGCTCTTGATGATATTTGGGGAGATTGATTGTTGCCGTTGATATAGCTAAGAGATCTGAGAGATCTGCCTTTTCCTCGAGTTGACTTTATCATAGTGCTAGGCTCACCCTTGTGTCTCGCCACTCGGCTCAAACTATTTGGTCGCCTTTGTGACGATTGGCTAGGTACAGTTCACCAGGTTGAATGTCTAGACCTCTGAGCCTTCTATTGGTGGGCACTCCTTTGACATTAGTTATTCTATCTATGCCGTTAGATCTCCTCGAGATTCTTGTTGGTACTTTTTCCGTGTACCATGAGAATCTAAAAATTGTATGATATGTATACTTATATCAATTTATTGTGACTTTATATTCTTCGAACAATGAGTTACACGGTATATAATTACTCGATGGAAAAATAAATAGACTTCAAAGCAAGCAATCAAAATCAAGAAAATATCAAAAAAAAAAAAAGGTGTATATAAATACCTCTTCTGTTATCACCACTTCCTCCTCTGCCTCATCGGATTTTTCGTCCCCACCCTCCTCATCTTTCTTAGCCTCCAAAACCTCCTTGTTCTCCAGCTGCGCCAGCGCAGCCTCTGCCTTTCGGTAATCACCAACAACCTTCTTCTCCCTCCACTGCGTTCTCTGCCTCGACCCAAACTCCGCCATCATATTCTCCTCTCTCACCCTCACCATCTCCGCCGCTTCCGTCTCCTTCCTCGACGCCGCTTCCTCTGGCGTCTCCCTACCAATCCCGGCCCTCGATCGCCGGATATAAAGCCCAACGGGTTCCGCCATACCGCAACCCTCTTTCCCCAACGCGGTGCCTGGCTTGTACCCCATCTGTCGCAGCATTCGAAACCCTAGGTTAGATTCTGGGATCGAGGCATCGAGGCGGGCCTTGGTCTGCTCGTCCTCCTCGCGCTGCTTCCGCTCCTTTTCAAATTTCCGATGCTCCTGCCAGGATAGGGTCTTAGGCCGCTTTAGCTTTGGGGCAAAGGGAGGTTCGTTTGGCTTCGAGATAAATTTCTGCGAAAGAAGCGAGTGGCTGCTGATAAGTTTGGAGAACCAAGTGTTTGGTTTGGGTTCTAGGGAAGGATACCTTTTTTGATGAAGAGGAGTCTTCGGGTGGGAGAAAGAGGGAGATGTCGCCCATGTAGTCGTCGTCCTCTTCTCCTTCAGCCATTGGTGTTGCAGAGGAGGATCTGAAAGCAAAACTTAATGCGGCACAATTTATATCGTTGTTTCTCGAATGAGGATTTCCTCTTAAAATAGAAAAAAAATTATATAAGAGAGAGAGAAGAAGAACAATTCATTGTGAGCGCTTATTCATAAAATAATTCTTTTATTTATAGAGAGCAAAATAGAAAATAATTATATTATCTTTTTTATATGCTTTAAATAGGTATATCGTGGGTACTTTGCATGTGTAAGTATGTCGTTTGATTACTTTCAGAGTACTTAACCAGTTAGTCTTAGTCAGCTTCGAGTCAGCATGATTAGTTCGATCAGCTGAGGTTGGTCGGTAGGTCGGTTGATACGTCCTGACTGTCGATCCATGGTCATTGATGAGAAATTTTTGGGGCGTCAATTGGATGGTTGAGGATACCATGAAACTGGATCTTTCATTGGATTGGTTACGCACGAGGGATGGTTGATACATTTAGTCACCTTTTTCTGTAAAGGTCGACTCATATGTTCTTTCGCCTCGCATATGGTCGAATGACTCGGGCTTGGGTTATCTGGCCGTCTTTTTGTCCACCTCACGGCTCAATCGGCTTTGGTTTTGCTGACTTGGCTCGGAAAACTTTACTCGATCAGACAAATAGGCCTTAAGATTTTCTATTAGTGGGACCTCATTCATTATACTTTTCTCGTCTAGATCGTTGGATTTAGGACTAGAAATGAACCGAACATGAGCGAACAGAACTCGTGTTCATATTTGGTTCGTTTTAAATTAAATCTATTTGAATTAGGCTCGTGTTCGAAATTGTTTGTGAAATGTGTGTTCATATTTGATTCGATTTGTTTGAATTTAATTTGAATTATTCGTATAGTTCAACTAGTTTGACTTAATCGAATTGCTCGTATTCAGTTTGAAATGAGCTAAAAATTTTTAAGAAAATAAAATTAATTATCTATTAAAAAATTATCAAAAATAGGTGGAGAACTATCTGAGATAATTTAGAATTAAAAATTATTTTTTATAATAATTTGATAAATTTTATATTTTAAATTTTTTTATCAAATATAACATAAAATTTTACTATGAAATTTTATAATTATATTAATTAATTATTATTTATTTATTTCGAACCGAACACGATCGAACAATTTGTTCGTGTTCGGTTTGTTTATAATCGAACTAAAAAAACTTATTCGTGTTTGGTTTGCTTGTTTAACGAACGAATCGAGCGCGAACTACTTATTGAGTCAAACACGAGCTATTCGTGAATGACGAGTTTTTTTGAAATCTCTAGTTAGATCTCCTTAAGACAAGTGTTGACATATTTTTTATGTACATATTTTAGTTACATAATTTTCTTCTTTAAATGACACTGCAATAATAATGAGATAATTATAAAAAAAAGAAACTAATATTGCTAGTCTCTCCAAATACAAGTCAAAAAATAGTTTAAGTAAGAATGAGTGGTGATTTTAAAAGATTTTTTAAAGCTGATTACTAAATGGGGCTAAGAAAACTGATAAACTGAGTTTGAGCTGTTATCGCCTAACTTGAGGCTTACACCACCCATGTCTCGGTCACTTGATTAAGCCGTCGCATTGGATGGGCCGCACCTTACACTATACATATTGATGAATCTTGTCACAATCTTTGTGGGTGATCTTATCGTAGTCTTGGCAAGGAAAACTGTTCAAACTTGTTGTTAGTGTGATTAGTACGCTACACACCACAAATATTGTCACTAATGGGCATGAACTTTTATTGCCAAAGTTTGACCCATTTCAAGGTATGAGACATATTCTTATGATGCATTGGTATTACAGGTTGGATAATCGAGTAAGTTCCAAAAGTGTAGACCACTTTCCTTTTACTTTTTGGAAACTTGTTTGAGTGGTAAGTTTCCCCAGTGTTTTGTGGCAAACTATATATACATATATATATATATATATATATTTCATCCCTAAACTTTCTTTAGGGAGTTGCTTGTCTAGTTACATCCAGGCGGTTGAGTGGAGGTGGCCGAGCATATGTGGTCGAGTTGATGTAGTTGAATGCTGAAGATTGAGTGTCGACAGCGGTCAACTCACTCGACTGAACTGGATCGATCATCTAGGTCGGGTTGATCGTCCCTTTGGATCGGTCATCCAGGCCATGTCGATCATCTCTCTGGTTCGGTCATCCAGGCTAAGTTGGTCGTTAAGCTGGGTCTGTCGTCCAGACTAGGTCAATTAGGACCTGGCTTGGCCAAACTGGAGCTAACCCGACCAAACTTAATCCTTAGTTATTCTCCTTGTGTTGCTCATTTTTTTTGTTAAGACGATATGATTACACTCACTTCATCTTTTAAGATATTTAATTATGATTTGTTCATAAATCATACCCAATGAATGCAGTGTAAGTAAAGAGTGATAAAGAGAACAAAATAATAATTTGTAATCCATCAGGTATTATTTATAAAATGATTCTTTTATTTATATAGGATAGGGCACAAAATGATGATAATACAATTGTGTTATCGTTTTAAAAGGGTATGAACTAAAGTATTTTTGGTATTTTACTTGCATAAACTGTCGTCTAGCTACTTTCTGACTTGGCCGACTCAATTTAGACGGTTCCGGGTTGGCAAAATCAGTTCAGCATGCTAAACTAAGTCAATATAGGTCAACCAGCTGACACGACCTTGTTGTCGATCCTTAGTCATTGATGAGAAACTTCTAGGGCATTCCTTGGATGGTCTGAGATACAGTGGAATCAGACCTTCCCTTGGATCGGTTCCGCTCAAGGGTTGGCTGTCGCATCTGGTCAACTTTTCTTGTAACCGTCAGCTTTGATTTTCTTTCACCTCTCATTTGCTCCAATGAGTTAGGCTTGTGTTATTTGCATGTCTTTTTGTTCGCATCGTGGCTTATTTGGCTTTAACCTTACTAGCTTGGCTTAAACAACTTCACTCGATTGAACAAATAGTCCTCACGATCTTCTTTTGGCGGGCCCTCAGTCGCACTCTTCCATTTTGGACTCTTAGAACTCATTAAGACTAGTGTTGACTGACACATTTTCTATGTACAAATACATATACATAATTCTTAAAAATTTAACCCCTAGTTTTTATTTTTGTATTTACAACACATAAAATTTTTTATCTCTCATTAAAATTTTACTATCACTATTTTTTTTAAGATAAAATACTCATTTTCATGCATAAATAAAATCTTATAAATATAAAAAAAAAAATCAAATTTAGGAGTTAAATATTTAATTTATATAAGAAATTTACACATATAGATAAAAGAATGGAACTTCATAAAATTATAAACGTTTTTTTATGTAAGAAATTTATAAAGATAAAAGTATAAGATATGACCAAATTAAAACAGTGCAGTATATTACTCATTAATTACAGGAGTCAATCATTTCACTGCCCTAATAGAGTAGAAAATTTGAAGCACGAATTTACGATTTGATCTAAAATAAGAGTAGTGTAAAATAAATTTCAGGCATCAATGTTCATTGTCGGTCGATAAAGTGTGTGTCGACATAAGTTGACAATGGTTTACAGTGATCTGGTGATGAAGGATGTCAATGTTGATTATTGGTCGAAGGAAGTGTTCGAGTGATAGTTAACTTCAATGTAATTTGACATGAGGGATGCCAATTTTGGGGTTAATTGGCAGCCAACAACCGTAGATGAGAGGATGTTGGTGCTGATTGACAACAATCACATGAGAATTAGCATCGATGTAGATTAAAGAGTATAGCTAAAATATTCTTTACAATAACTAGTTTCACCCCAAAAAAGTCTGTTAATCTCTCTCTCTCTCTCTCTCTCTCTCTCTCTCTCTCTCTCTCTCTCTCTCTCTCTCTCTCTCTCTCTCTCTCTCTCTCTCACACACACACACACACACACCCACCATTATACAACATGTAACTCTAAGGTCACTTTACCAACCTGGTATCAAAGCCTACGACCAAACAACTACACTCAAAAACAAAAAAGTTGCTCCACACAAAAATGGTTCCTCTCTTTAATATATAAAAACAGTGAAGTTTTTAAAAAATATATAGTAGACTAAAAAATAGTTTTAGTATACACAATGTTAATTTAAATAATAATTTACACAAATATTTTAAAAATAAAACTATTTATTTCTAGCCATGCTCCGAACAACACATTACATTGAAATGAGCTAAAGTAAAATAAAAAATATACTAAAAAGAATGTTTGGGATTATCTTTTGTTTTTTTTATTTTTCATTTTTATAAAAAAGAGAAAACAAACAAAAAAATACTGTGCTTATCTGTTTTTTGTTTTGTTTTTCTCTTTTTTTTTTTCTTTTTTTTTTTTTTTTTTTTGGGTAAAACCTTTTTTTTTTTATTTTTAAATATCAAATGCAGAAAAAAAAAATATTTTTGTCTGTTTTAAAAACACAAAAATAACCATTCGCCTAGCCTGCCTCCGCCGCTGCCAACCGCCACAGCCACCACCCACCGCATTGCCGCCCTCCAACCGCCCCCCTCTCGCTGCCTCTGCTGGCCCCCACCGTTGTTGCTATCGCCACAGTCGTCGCTGTCACCGCCGCTAGCTGTCAATCTCCACACGTCATCTGTCGGTCACCACCCCCATCT